TTTTCTTGTGAAATTGTTTAAGGCTCCCGTGGTGGAAGAAGATGACGTGGTAGGTTTTGATGATGAAGCTAAAACTATAAAGGGTCGTCTCACTGAAGGATCAAAAGATACGACTTTCATTTCAATTGTGGGAATGGCTGGGTTGGGCAAAACCACATTGACTAAAATGGTATTCAATGATAGTGAAATTCAATATGAGTTTTTTACTCGACTTTGGATTTACGTATCTAGAACCATGAATAGGAGACAGATATTTATGGACATTATAAGTAGGTTTACCAAGCAAACTGATGATTTCAAGAATGTATCGGAAGAGCTATTAGCTGAAAGTATCAAGGAATATCTGAAGGGCGGGAAGTATTTCATTGTGATGGATGACGTTTGGCACAAGAATGACTGGAACCTTTTGAAAATTGCTTTTCCTAATAACCAGAATGGAAGTAGAGTATTGGTAACAACACGTAATACTGGGGTGGCTACATATGCGGATTCCTTTGGCAACCCACACAACTTAAAATTTTTGAAGGATGATGAAAGTTTGTTGTTATTAAAAAAGAAAGTTTTCCGCAAGGAAGATTTCCCTGGGTCTCTTGAATCCCCGGGGAGAAGAATTGCAGCGAAATGTAATGGGTTACCGCTAGCAGTAGTGGTTATTGCTGGTGTCCTTAATAAAGACGAAGTCTCATCCTGGAATGAAGTGGCCGAAAATCCTATGCCAATACTCAATCGCCAAACCCAAGACTACAATAATATACTAAGATTGAGTTACAATCAGTTGGCTGACCACACAAAAGAGTGTTTCTTGTATCTTGCAGCATTCCCAATCGGGCATGAGATTTTTGTTTGGAAATTGATTCGGTTGTGGATTGCAGAAGGCTTTATTCCTCAACTACCTGATTCCACCATGGAGCGCACATCTGACTCATACTTGAAGGAATTTGTGAGCAGGAATCTGTTGATGGTGGTGAAAAGAAGAGCCAACGGTGATATCAAAACATGCCGCCTTCATGACACATTGCACGAGTTTTGTAAGGATGAAGCTGTAAAGAATTATCTCTTCCATGAGATAAACGGGGCAAAAATAGAAGCAAATGATAATTATCGTCGCTTGTGCATCCGTTCCTCCCTTTATGACTTTATAGCTTCTGAGGATAAGCCATCAGGTGAGCATATCCGCTCTCTTCTAGCATCTGACAAACTAGATGTTAAAAGAGAGCACTTGGCAACTATCCCAAAGGCCTACCCCTTTCTCAAAGTCTTTGATGTGGAAAACGTCAAATTCGAAATTTTGCCAAAAGAGTTCTATCAGCTATACCATCTGCGCTACTTGGCTGTCTCAACCGACCTCAAAATCCTTCCAAAGCCATTCACAGAACAATGGAACATGGAGACTCTTGTGTTCAATACCTCCCAAAGTAGTGTTGATGTTAAGGCTGAGATATGGAAATTGGCAAAACTAAGGCATATCATAGCCAATGCTCAGCTGCAATTTCCTACTCCCCAAAATTGCAGAGACAAGTGTGGAGACTTGCAAACTCTTACCCCCATATCACCTAAGAGCTGCACAGAAGCCATCTTAGAGAAGATGCCCAACCTTTTGAAATTGGGGGTTCGTGGGAATTTAGTAGAGCTTCTTGAGGGCAAGGGAGGAGTTTGCTTATTCGACAATGTTGGAAAGCTGCATAACCTGCAAAATCTGAAACTTGTGCACGAACCTGCCAATGACCAGAGTAGCACAATAAGGAGCTTTCCTCGGGATGACAAATTTCCATCAAAACTAAGGAAGCTCACTCTATCCAACACCTCCATAGAATGGAAACACATTTGTGTATTTGGATCCCTCAACGAGCTGGAGGTCCTCAAGCTGAAAGAATCAGCAGTGAAGGGGGAGTATTGGGATCTAAAGAACACTGTTTTTAAGAGTCTCCGATTCTTAAGCATTGGGAGAACAGACTTGGTGAAATGGACTTGTGAGAAGAGTAGTTTTCCTGCACTCAGCAAGCTTTATCTCTCACATTGCACATCCCTTGAGGCAGTCCCACTCGCCTTCAAGGATGTTAAAAGCCTTAAAGTTATGGAGTTGTTCTGTACCAACAAAAAAGCTGCTGCTTCTGCAAAAACAATCCGAGAACAAAAGCAAGGAAATGGGTTTGATCTCTCCATTTATCCTCCTTCAGATAACTGAATTCAACAACTTTATTGATGCATTTGCGTATTTCTTCCAATAAAAAGGTCTGTCGTCATTTATTTATTTAGTTTTTGTTATTTTACGGTTTTCTAAAGTTATTATTGTTGTTGTTATTGTTAATATTGTTTTAAATTGGTGCAGGGGTAACAAATAACATTTTCAGATGTATGTTTGCTCCGATCCAAGGCTTGTAGTCATGGTTGTTGTGGCGCTTTCTGTTTTCGTATTTTCCTTTCTTACTAAAATAAAGTCTGCTGGCATGTATCTATATATATGATCATACGATTTCATATGTAGAGCTCGGATCCAGTTGGGTGGTGTGCTTTGTTCTGAGTTTTTGTGTGAAATGTTTTTCATCATTAAACATTTGTAAAACTATTTGAACTATTCTAGTCAGTTTTTAATTTGCTCTTCTCTGATTTCGTCATTTGGTTTTGTATTGTGGTACAAGTTAATTAACTAGACTTATTAAGAGTTTTGGTAGAACTAAATGAATTGATGTTGGTTTATCTAACACTATGCTTATATATAATGCTTATATGCATGTCACCCTCAAGGTCTTGTTGTGTTGAGTAACTCTTTGTTGCTATACATCCTTGGTGCTTGATGATATTAGCATATACACGTCATCTTTATACTTATACTGTGATGAAATCCTACAATTTTGACACTTATATAATTTTTGTAATGCTAAAGTGATTTTTGATTTGTACCGAATTTTACAAGAAAAATTTGAGATTTTAATTTCTAATTCTAATTTTACATTGTATCATCAAAATCTATTTCATACAGTTATTCCTAAATGAATTGCCTCCTTTGCCCCCTTTCACTCCTCCCCTGTCTAAAATGTGTATATGAACTCCATACAACTAAGAGTATCACCACCAGTAGATATTGCACATATTCTAAGAAAAAGATAGCCATGTTGGGAGAGAGAGAGGGGAAAGAGAGAGATGATTGGGGTTCCTCTTCAAGAGAAGAAATAATGTCAGAAAAGTGAGTCCCACACTAATTTTGGACAAGTTGTGACAGCATCGCATTGCTGTCACAAGTGTGCCCAGAGAAGGAGAAGGAGAAGGCCACCAGTTTGGTTGCCTTCTCCTTCGCTGGAGAAACCAAAATTTGAAAAAAGAATTTTAAAAAATACGTTTCTTGAGAAACGCAAGTCTCACTTGCGTTTTAAGTTTGATTGGAAATATGATAAAATGCAAATGGAGAAAGTCTTTTACACATTTTTGTCAAAAAAAAAAAAAAAAAAAAGAACGCACATTTTGGAAAATGCATGTCTCCTCCTACATATTTCTGTCATTTTTCCATTGATTAGATCAAATTTAGGTTAGTTATAGAAGGATGAAGGAACTAATCTCATTAAGAAGTGGAAACCATGAAATCAATCAAATCATCGTATCGTTACCTGACTAGGCATTAATTGGGAGGGATGAGAAGAACCCAGATTAAACGACAGGGTGATTGATTTGATTCACAATAATATATAGGGTTAAAACTTCATAATAACGTTGATAATATCCACATTGAAACGAATTCTCTTCAAGTCATCCAAGGCTTCATCAACTCTAACAAAGGAGAATCTTCATTTTATTTGATCATTACAGATTAAAAAAAAAAAAAAAAAAAAAAAAACTTATGAGCAGTTTTACTCAAATGTCGCCCACATGTTAGTTAGGCGGTATGTTTAATTTCTATGTCTGATTGTTTGAAGTGGTTTTCACATTTTTTTTTTATTTTCTTTCTTTCACATTTTTTATTTTATTGTTAAAAAGTAGAGGATGAGACTAGGGATGGCAAAGGGGCGGGGGAGTATATTCCTCGTCCCCATTCTTGGCGGGAAATTGAAAATAGTCTCCATTTCTATACCCGTGAGGAATTTAACACGAACGGAAATTCTCCATCTCCGGTCAACTCTTAATCAAAATCTTAAATTAGTTTAATTTTTAATTTTAAAAACTAAAAACTAAGTCTCAATTTAAATAAATAAATAAATAAATAAATATATATATATATATATATATATATATATATATATATATATATATATATATATATATATATATTTATTTATTTATTATAATTATTCGGGGACGGAACGGGGAGAAAAATGGTATCTCCGTCTTTGTCTCCGTCCCTAACGGGGAATTACATACATTCCCTGTCCCTGTTCCCTGAATTTTTTTTTTCCATCTCCGTTTATGGCGGGTGTGAATCAGGGATCCTCATCGAGAACGAGGCAAAATGTTATCCCTAGATGAGACTAAAGAATTTGAAGCTAATAGTGTAATGAATATCAAATCTTGTAATAGGTTACAAAGTTCCAACCAAACGCAGTTGATATCCACAAGCCCAAATGAAAACAAAAAAATAAATAAATAAATAAAAATGAGAAACTGGAATAGTTGAGAATTTGAGATAGTCATACAAATTAAGTTGTAACTTGAAAAACGTTCTCAAAGAAATTTAGAACTAAACTCACCAAAGCTGTGGCTTCTCACATAAGAGGTCTCAGGTTCGAAGGCATTGATTCTTTGTACTTTAATAAGTTGAGAAAGTATGTATGAGTGGATACTACATTATAATAGAGTCAGTAGCATCCAGAAAAAGTATGTATGAACAGATACTACATTGTAATAGAGTCAGAAGCATTAAGAAAAAAAAAGAAAGATAAAAGTTGATGTTTTGGAGAAGCCATATATCTGGGTGTAAGATGACCGTTAACTCAATGGCTTAGCACACATGATCAAATGACAGTTGTGCACAAAGGACATTTTAAGCATAATTCATACGTTGTCGCTCTAGAGTTATTCGATACTCCTGCACTATTTTTTTTTTTTAAAAAATTAATAATAATATACTTTTGAGGAACGGTAAGTTAAAGGTAACATACAGTACAAAAAACTGATTGACCTTTTGATTTGTAGAAACAGGCACCATTGCAATAGATGGAGTTGAAGCAGTCAATGATGAAGAGGCAAAATAGAGAGCACAAAATCCAACTTAGGTTTCTGGTCTCTTATATTCCTTGCAGAAGTAGCAGCCCGTTTGTTGGTATAAAACAACTCAATAATCTTAAGGCTCTTCACATCCTTAAATGAAAGTGGAACTTCATTAAGGTTTTCACAATGCAATATGTGAAGCCGTTTCAATGCCGGGAAGCTACTCTGCTCACAACTCCAGTACACCAAATCCGTTCTCCCAATACGCAAGAATTGGAGGCTCTTGAAAACAACGTTAACGTTGAGTTCCCAACACTCTCCCTTGGCTGAAAACTCCTCCAATTTGAGGACCTCCAGCTCGTCCAGGGATCCCAAAGCACAAATGTATTTCCAATCAAAGGATGTCTTGGATAAAGTCAGCTTTCTTAACCTGATTGGGAATCTATCAGCTTGTGGAATAATAGGCCGCTGCAGTGTGGTAGCTTCATCATTGAAAGCTTCATCCATGAGTTTCAGATTTTCGAGTTTCTCCAGCTTTCGTATATTGTTAAACAAGCAGCAAATTCCTTCATTGCTCTCTAGAAGCTCTGCTACAATATTCCCACGGACGCCTAGTTTCTGAAGGTTAGGCGTATTGTCAAAGATCTCTTCAGTGCAGCTTTTGGGTGATATGGTGGAAAGAGTTTGCAATTCTGGACATGATGCTTTGCAACTTTGTGAATTAGGAGGGGGGAGTTGCAAAGAAGCATTAGACTGGATATGTCTTAGTTTTGGCATGTTCCATATCTCAGCCTTAACATCAACTGTAGTTTGGGATGTATTGAACACGAGAGTTTGCAAGTTCCATAGATGAGTGAATAGTTTTGGAATGGGATATTGTTGTGAGTTGAGATAGCCAAATAACGTAGATGATATAAGTTATAAAGCTCTTTGGGCAATATTTCGAATGTGAAGGATTGAGCGTCAAGCACTTTGAGAAATGGATAGGATTTTGGGATAGCTGTTAAGTGTTGTTTGGGAATCTTAAGTTTGGTAAATGTTAGAAGAGAGCGGATACTCCCATAATCACGTGTTGTTACCAATACTCTACTCCCATTCTGGTTATTAGGAAAAACAATTTTCAAAAGCTCAAAGTCTTTCTCGTACCAAACATCATCCATCACAATTAAATACTTCTCATCCTTCAAAAATTCCTTGATTCTTTCGGCTAATTCGTCCTCGAACATGTTCTTGTAATCATTGGTTTGCTTGGTAAATTGTCTTATCATGTCCATGAATATTTTTCTCCTATTCATGCTTCTAGTTACATAAACCCAAAAGCGAGGAAAAAACCCATCCCGAATTTCACCATCTTTCAATACCATTTGGGTCAATATATTTTTACCCCACCCAGCCATTCCCACAACTGAAATGAAAATGGTATCTTTTGATTCTTCAATGAGACGATACTTTATAGCGGTTATCTCTCTACCAAAACCTACCACATCATCATCATCCTCTTCCACCACAGGAGCCTTAAACAATTTCACAAGAAAATGATGTTAGGTCAGAGAACTTACTACATTAAATCAAAATGTAATATTTAATGGTCAAATTAAAATGTTACATATGAAAAAAAAAAGTGTAATACTAATCTAAAACATCTTTTTCAATTAGTTTTACCAAACAACTAATTTACCAAATACTTTTCTACAATCAGCTAATATTATCAACTAGTTATACCTCTCTAATTAACCCAAACAACTAACCGCTATAAGCTAACTGTCATTTACCAAAGAATACCTATACTATAGTCTTATACCATAGGGATGGGAGTTGGGAGTAGTGTAAGATTATTGAGTATAGTTGGACGACATAGATACCTGGAGAACCGTTGGCGGCGGCTGAGGATTATTTAGCGAATGGGCAAGATGTACACGGATTTTCTCCGCCCTTTTGTTAATGGTGTCGATCTCCTTGGCAGCATCATTAACCTTGGCATAATAACTTAGTTTTTCCCCCCATTTGATGAGGACCCCTCTGCCTCTGTGCTCCCTTCGCTCTACAAGGTATTTATCAATGGCTTCTTCAGCATCAGTTGCAATATTCTCAATCTTCTTCTTCACCACGTCGTCGTCTCCGACCAAAGCCTCGGTGGCTGCCTTAGTGAGATATAATAATACCCTGAGTTGGGTGAGTAGATCTTCCACCTGATCCTTGATCCCAAGAATGAGCGTCTCGTTTTCTTCCACAGTTTGTGTTACCTTGCTTATCACCAACTCTACAAATGCGTCCATGGCGCTCAGCTCAGGAAATGGCCTGGAACAATAATGATCGAATTCAAGAAATTAAAAAACCAGGTCACTGATACTATACACCTTAATTTCTTTCAAGTTTTGCGTTGCCTAGCTAGCTTCTTGGCTTTCAACACCTTTGATGTGTGATCCCCAATTCAAGTTTTTTATAATATTATCTTCCCATGTCACAAACAAATTAAATATTAAATATAATATAATGAAACAATTTAGGAGAGCCAAATGGTCGATAGCTACTACCCATGAATTAAATATATCAAGTTGCTCTAATAATTGTCGTTAGTTATGGATAATATTTATTTTATTTTTGTATTTTTAAAATCTTTATTCCCTCATAGGGAGGTTGTGGGTTCGAGTCTCAATAGAAGCGATATTGACTCTTTGTGTTTCATTTGGTTGAGAAAGTAGTTATGAACAGATAGTACATTGTAATAGAGTTAGTAGTATTCAAAAAAAAAAAAAAAATCTTTATTCCCATTATAAGGTCATATATATATATATATATATATATATATATATATATATATATATATATATATAGGCAGGGACGAAGCCAAGAATTCTGTTAGGGGGGGGGGTCCGAAATAAGGATGGATTCAGAAATTTTTTCCAGTAAAGGCGAAACATTAAAACAAAAGAGATATTTAAAAAAAAATAAATAAATTACCCAAGAAATATGTGTAAATATTATTGGATATGGGCAAAAAATAAAACACATCGAAACTTTATAAAAATATTCATATATAACAAAATATGAAACATAATTAATTTGATATTAAAACGTGACTGCGTTAAAGCCATAGGGAAGGAGCAAAAAATAAAAAAGATTCGAACCCTTGACTTTTATTATAACCAAATATATGCTTAACCAACTAATTTAACTCATTTCTTATTAACAATTAACAGTTAAAGATTATATATGGGGCGGGGGTGGGGTGAGGGGGGCAGCTGACCCCCCTTTGGCTCCGTCCATGTATATAGGGTTGAGTTCAAATGAAGACACACTACATATGTCCTCATAGTCCTCTATAATATACTTGTCCTCATTTGAACTCAAGTATATATATATATATATATATATATATATATATATATATATATATATATATATATATATATATATATATATATAGACTCAGGTTCTCGTGCGGGTGAATGCTTCCCGTGCGGTTGTGCGGTTATTAATGTGCGTGAGATTTGTACTCAATGTGCGTGAGTGTTGTATCTAATGTGCCTGAGATTTGTACTTAATGTGCGTGAATGTGTAAAATGCAGCAGAAAAGTGGAGACCTACATGATAGTTTCTTCGCTAGCTTTGTTCTCGGATGGGTTATCACAAATGGTGCTGGTATTGCTTCTTACCCAATGATGATGACATCTGGTGAAGCCGTCAAGTACAAGAGCTCTCTTGATGCTTTTGCTCAGATTCTTAAGAATGAAGGTGTGAAAAGGGTGCTGGTGCAAACATTTTATCATGATTATATGGGTACTTCTCTTTTCAGTAGCATAGCTCAGATTCTTAAGAATGAAGGTGCGAAAAGGGTGCTGGTGCAAACATTTTATCATGACTATATGGGTGCTTCTCTTTTCAGTAGCATAGTTATATGGTGATTTTCTGTTCTGCTTCTTTCTGAGTTCGTAATTCTGAACTACTCACGCACATTAAGCACAAATCTTACGCATATTAAGCACAACACTCAGGCACATTAAGTACAAAACTCACGCATATTAACATCACGCACATTAAGCACAAAGCTCACGCACATTAAGAACAACACTCACGCACATTAAGTATAAACCTCACGCACATTAATCCACCGCACAACCGCACAGGAAGCAACAAATGCACCTGATCCCTTCCCTATATATATATATAAACAAGATAACGGTAAAATAATGAATAAATGAAATCTACCTAATATGTAACCTATGTATATGAAATAAATATATATACATCCCTAATTATGTATAGAGAGATTAATAAAATATATTTTCTATATTTAATCTTTACAAGAAGATTGTATGATGTATTTATTATTGTAGTTCTTTGACTGCATAATTCATAGATCAAAATTGTAACATCGCATCATACAACAATTTTTTAAAAATGTGTTTTAGCCACTTAATCATATAGCTCTATTCAGTTTAGTCTATGTTTTTCAATAATAAAATATACCTCTAACTTTACAAAATAATTACAATTTTTGTTCTTGATGTAAGTAAATTAATATTGTTTAGATTAACTTTAGCTTGGCAATATATTTGTTAGTCTAACTAGTATTTTCACCCGTGCGATGCACGGAATGAAATTTTTGTAATATATTAAGAATATTTAAATTGATATATAATTATTTAAGAGTTAACTTCACCAGAGGTCGCTTATCTTTCCTGACAATTTCAAATTTAATCCTAGAATATAGTTATTAATTATTACGATTTATTCTATGTTATAATTCTTACGTTAATATTCTTATTATTATTATTAACACTTAATTACTTTTAGATATTATTTTTACCACTTATATTATTATTATTATGATTATTAGTTTCTTTTCAAGTTTTGTTAGTATATAATGGTCGTGAGGCACACAATAATAATATAACCATAATTAAATATTCTTGTACGGTATTCCGTGAGTCACAATAATAATATAACAATAATAAAATATACTTAAATTCTATATTCTTCTAGGATTTCTATTACCATCATTAATTATTCCCTAATTTACCATAATTAAATAATTTGACCAATTATAAAGAGATATTATTAAATAATGCACTGGACAATTTTTTAATTAAAAAATTTAAAAATTCATTAATGAAACATAAGGTTCTCATATTTTTTTCTTAGAAACTATTTAATAAAGCATTTTTTTAAAAAATTGGTGGACCAAACCTTTGCAGTGGATAGATCTCGAAAAAATACGCGATTTCAAAAAAACATTTGTCCAAAACGGAAAACCGAGACAAGAGTTATGCCTTGCCGAACTTTTAACACATCACAACTTTAACCCAGAATTATTGTACGAATGAGAAAGTAGAAATCAATATATTTTATTGGGAAGAGAAAATTTTTAGGAATTGGGCGGGAAGTTAAAATTTCAGGATTTTGTTATTATATATAGTATAGATTGTGCAAAGTGAATTGTATTACACTATTTTATAATTTTAGAATATAATTTTTTTCCCGAATTATTGTATGAATGGGAAAGTAGAAATCAATATATTTTATTGGGAAGAGAAAATTTTTAGGAATTGGGCGGAAGGTTAAAATTTCTGAATTTTGTTATTATATATAGTATAGATTGTACAAAGGGAATTGTATTACCCTATTTTATAATTTTAGAATACAATTTTTACCCAGAATTATTGTACGAATAGGAAAGTAGAAATCAATATATTTTATTGGGAAGAGAGAATTTTTAGGAATTGGGCGGGAAGTTAAAATTTCAAAATTTTGTTATTATATATAGTATAGATAGATAGATTGTGCAAAGAGAATTGAATTACACTATTTTATAATTTTAGAATAGAATTTTTTCCTAGAATTATTGTACGAATGGAAAAGTAGAAATCAATAT